CGGGGGAGCCTCTCCCGGCCCCCGCCGTGCAGGTTTTGGTCAGCGCGGGGCTCAGGAGATCTCATCCCCCGTCCATGTTACTGTGCCCCTGCCTCGGGCCTCGTGTCGCCCGGGATTCAGTCCAGGCACCCCACCTCAGGTTGAGAAATAAAACAAACAAAAAAAAAGGCCCCAAGGAAAGGTGCTTTCACACCCACCTGTGTGCCGGCCTCGCTGTCTGGTCGTCCTCCAGCCCGCGGGGCGACCCGCAGCCGTGGGCTCTTGCCAGCAGGCCCCCGCCACCACGAGCAGCGAGGGAGCGGAGGCTTTCTGCGTAGCAGAGGATGAAAGGGAAGAGGTGGGTTTTCACACTCATAGAAATATCCAAGGCGCTCCCCCCAGGAAACAACGTTTCCGAAGGTTCACCTAAAAGAAAAGTTGCCTAGGAAGTACCCGGGGTTTGCTGTTTAAGCCCCACCGACGAGATGACCGCGAGCACCAAGAGAAATGTCTCCAGCCGCGCGTGGAAAAGAGACCGTCCTCGCGAGGATGCCATGGAGCCGTGACCAGCACGAACATCCTGCCAGGGCAAGGCGGACGCACGACCAAGTGGCAAGACCTGACCTCATGACGGGAAGATTTTGGGTGGTGGCCCCCTCCAGCGTTACCTCTAGCTATGGCTTCCCGTGACGCCTGAAAGATGGTGAACAGCCTCAGGGGTTTCACAGAGGTGCCGAGGGGATGCACGCGTGGGTAGTACTCAAAGAGACCGTGTCCTGTGAGTAAGGAACACAGATCGTGGGCCGTTCAAAATGAACCGTTGGCTAAATCAGTGGTGTGAGGAAGCCACGCTGCTTTTGTAGACCACTGCCTCCCTCTTGACAGGGACACCGGCTTGCGGACTCAGGACAAGGATGCAGTCTGGCAGGGACCAGCAGGTCAGGATAATGAACGTAGCGCTGGACAGACATTTTTCTTCAGAATGTTTTTTTTTCCCCTCATGCAAAATGCCATTTTCAGCAAAGTCTGAACATTTACAAGAATGTCAAAGTCAATAAAATGGCTTTTGTGTAAAAAGCTTCCCTAAATCCTTCTGCTTAATGGTGTCCAGATGGGATGTGAGTAGTAACATAAGGGGGCTGCTTGAAGCCAAATTTGGGACTCTGGGTATGCAAGAGTCTGTTCTGCAAGAATCAAGTTGATGCAGAAGACGGTCCAGAAGACACTCTGCTGTTAGTGATAAGGAAAGCAGATTAAACCCTATGGATTAGTTTCCCTGCTATGTCTTGGGGTTTTTTTTTCTCTTCGTTTTGTAGAGTAGAAGATTTGGGATTTGTTTTTTCTAAGAAAAACATTAAACAGTCAGCTCCTGATGAATATTTCAGGCACACCCTTATCCAGTAGCCATTGCATCCCACTTAAATATTCCAGGTTCATCTGTCCAGTGCATCTCAGTGTGCTGAGTAGATGCATTTGATGCGCTGCTGAATGTTCCAGGTGGCGTGGAGTGATTAAATGTCCTACTTTATTTTTTGGTCTTGTCCTACTTTTTGTGAGGATTCAGGTGGTGTGGCCGACTGCTAACAGCAATGATAGCAACAGATATTAGTGCTCTCATCCTGCTTTCCTTAGCTTATGAAAAGATTGTGTGCTGATAAATACTTTTCAAATTCATAATTCTCATGAGGTGCCACAAATAATTTATAAGCATCTGTAACTTCCTATTTCACAACCAACTCTACTGAGTACAGTTGTGTTTATTAATGATGCTTCCAAAACAAGCTTGAATTTTTGAAATAAAGCTTCTTTAGTATGCCAATACACATTCGGAGCCATCAGAAAAATGCTTAAATTTATGAAAGACCTGAATAGCTCTAAAATGGCTGAATGGAAATTTTCCTGAGTTCATATGCGTGAAAACACATCAAAGTTAGTATAAATGAGAAATTTTAGCTCAAATACTAGTTGTCTTTCAACATCCCTAGCAGAGGGACTTGACCCTGCTCTGAGCAGGGTGGCTGGACTGGATGAGCTCCAGAGGTCCTGTCCCATCTCCACCACTCTGGGATTGTCTGACGTTATCTGAGAATTTGGGCTGGTGATTTTGAGATGGGGCTTTTCAAAGAGAACTGCCCTTAGAAGAAAGAAACACTGTAGACAACAATGACAGATTGTGCACTTGTCTTATTATTTGGCTTTACTTAGGATGCAGCAGCCATTCCAAAATCCCTCCTGGCAACATGTACGTCCTAGTTTTTGGCTGTGGCTGTCTGATCACCCTCAAGGTAGATCACACCTGCCGTGCTGCTGCATGTATCAGGTACTCCTCTTTTAGCTCTCTTAGTTTTCTGCATGTCAGATCAATAGAAGTAGGTATTAGAGTATGTGCAACGGAAAATGAGAGGATAAAGGGTTGATCTTGAACATCCTCTAGATTATATACCATAGTAATTTTTTAGGCCAAGTAAAATGACTGCTACCTTTTTCAGAAAGCTGCTCAGAGGACGCTGGAATATGTGTTTTGTTTTCTTATGGTTGCTAGATGGTTTGTGTAAAAAAGAGTCATTCGAAAAGCTGCTCTGCAGCTCTAATACTTGACTGGGGATGTGTCACCTAAAATTATCGCACAAGTTGTTTGCGAAGACAGGTGAGTGCCGCATCCCTGTTACTCGTGTCTGACCCATTTTTGAAGTGCAATTTTTTTATCATCCTGTCTCTACTATCAGAGCTGAGCCTGTTAGCAGAAGAAGCCTCAAATATGTGACCATGCTTCAGGGACTTATTTGTCTGTAACTTTGGGAAAGTCACATGCTCAACCATCTCAGGTCTCTTCTAAGTGGGGGAATATGGGTGAAACAGTAGGACATTCTTCTCTACTACTTGGCAGCACCCTCCAATAGACAAGGACAGAGAATGATTTAGTCTCCTTTTCTGTCCAGCACAGTCTGTCCTCAGGTCCTCACCTCAGCTAACTCATCTGGGTTTCTGTTTTTCTCTCGTGGTCGTTTCTCTGGGAGTGGGATTGAACATATGTAATCATTTTACTGAAGTCACTGGTTTCATCAGTTGGTATGTAGTTTTGAGTGGGACCTTCAAAATCAGGAAGAGAAGTCCTGTTCACAGCCGCCACTTAGTAGCAGCGGGGGTTTCTTCAGATTCATGGTCTGGAAGCTAATTCTAGCCATGTCATCATGTGGTCTATAGGTTATCCTCATATGGCTGAACTGGATGACCCCATCCTACATCTTCAGTAAGTTCTGTATCAGCACTGTACAAGGGCAGAGGAGAGTTTTTCCATGATGGTAACATGAGGGATATGTGCCCATGTGTGCATAAAAGAAAGGGACATCCCCAGTCCCAAGGTAGTCGTTCTGTTGTCCTTACAGCAATGGAGAATTGAGACCCCTCTGCCTGCTGGTTATTCTGGCATTTGTGACTCAGCTAAGGGTGGGCTGAGGGTATCAAATAGAAGTGCTGTCAACCACATCTCCTGCCATCATGGTGTTCATATGTCTTCAGGTACTTCCTTACAAGTAAAATCCACATAGCCCCTTGTATTGCAAAGTTACCAAATTTATTTCTCTGTAGGAGCTGTGTGTTTGCCACACCAATGTGTGTGTTTGTCCGTGTTCCTGCCAGACCGAGGCATCGTTGTTTCTGGTTGTAGTCTGCGCTCTCCCCCCGTCCGTCCCCCACCCCCACCCCTTGTTACACATGATTAATATCACTGTGGCCAGAGTGACAGGGGAGAGCATCTTCACACAACCTTCAAGCTTTTGTGCAGCTGATGAGAAAAAAAACCCCAGACTCTAAATATCTCCATGCCTCTGGCCCACCGAGAGAGGTTATAATTTGCTTTGCTTTAATTCTACAACACCTGAACACCAAGAATGGTATAAGGTGCGGAAGAGCCCTTTTCCTTGGTGGATGGGAGCAGGACCTGTGAGATGGGAGTTCCAGCCTTGCAGGTGCATCCACCTCCAGCTTTTCACTCCTTACAAACTGTGGGTACGGCGGGGGCTGCAGAAAGAGAGAGCTCTTTCTCTCCCTGTCTGGGGGGGTTCCTGTGCTAGCTGAAATCTCTGCTGGGCTTCCCAGTCAGTATTTCTCTGCTTCTGTTCTCCAGGGTTTGTGTCCAGGGCCTGAAGCTGTTCTTCTACCCCATGTCCCAGGTCCCTCTCCGTTCCACCCCTGGCCACCATCCTGTGTAAGAGAGGGGAATGCTGCAGCCACTGAAGCTAATCAGAGAAACTTCCTGCCAGTGAGAGCAGAGAAAGTTCATGATGGATTCTCTTGCCCTCATTTCCAGCTCTGCCTGGAGGTGTGAGTCCCCGGGGTAGTCATGTCTGCAGTCAGTGCCTGCTCCACTGGCTTGAAGAAAGATCTGAATCACACTGGCAGGGTTTTTGGTTGGATAACTCAGAGAAACTCTGCACAAGAATTATCTCTCCCCTTCCTTCCCCTCCACGCTCTTCCTTGGCTCTTCTGTAAGCAGAACACGACATGAGCTTCACCCTCTCTAGAAGGAAATTCAGGAGCGTGCCTAGCATATTTCTACAGCAAAACCCACACCTTTACACCCTGCCCCCTCTTCCCACGACCGAGCTATTAGACAGAAATATTCCCCGATTCTCAGAGTTTATTAACCTTTTTTCCAAGGGAATGAATAGAGATATTCACAGCTTTTGAACAGCAGCAGAAACCCATTAAATTGCTCTGTGGCAATCTTGTCAGGAACTTGTTTCTTTAGCAGAGACACATTTCAGAGGGCTCTGCACTCACTCCCAACCTATTTGGGTTCAGTAAATGTAGGTGCCACTGAGGCATTAAGGTGAGCAGCCCTGGACCGTAAGCTTTAAATGTAGCAGGGCGACAGACAAAAATTTCTCTAAGCTCCTGGTCTCAGAGCTG